CCAGGAATTTGAGGTGTGCAAGGTAACGAGCAGACTGACAGACTGGCTGCTGTGGTTCGTCTGGGCAGTGAGCTACTATATAATAAAGCGGAGTTGTGAATGCTTTTTGGGATAAAATTGACATTATGAAAAAAAAAAAAGACAGATAGGGACTCCACACACTGAAAGACTTACTCAAGGGTGGATGAGTATAGGTTTTAGAAGATAGTCAACTTAGAAGGGCAACCGATGGTGGAATTTTAATCAAGTCGCAACTGATACTATTGGCATGTCAACTCTTCGGTGGTTATTGAAGCAGGAGACGGAGCATGTGTGGGAATTCTTGAGTGCAGTGATGTCAAGTCTTCATTCATTCATTCCATACAAACTGGGCATTGTTTGGGACTTACCTTTTACATACTCTCCACCAATCTCCCATCCCTTATGATGTATGTTATAAACCTCGTTCTGGACCAAGTCTTCACAGCTTCCATATCTGCTGCTGGCGAACAGATCGGTATCCGAATACTCCCCTCCTTCGTCAGAGGGCGTCACCTCCCGACTGTACGAGACAAGGGCGTTTCTTCTGGGCGCACAGTAGACGGACATGTCTGATGAGGAGGGCGATGTGTTCCATACATCTCCAAGAACTGGTTTGCCTGGAAGTAAAATCACGCACGCATCAGACGAGCAAGCTCTTTGGGTGGGTTCCAAGACCCCAGTACTAAAAAAAAAAAACGCCCCTTAAACAGCATGTCGTCAAAGGCTACTAATAAAGGGTTTCTCATGTGTTATGCCGAAAGGTGCAGATATCGAGGATAGCAGTCAAGCACATGGCAGCTGCAAGGACGAACACAGAAGAAAAAAAAAAGAAGAAGAAGAAGAAGAAGAAAAAGAAGAAGAAGAAGAAGAAGAAGAAGAAGAAGAAGAAGAAGAAGAAGAAGAAGAAGAAGAAGAAGAAGAAGAAGAAGAAGAAAAAGAAGAAGAATAAGAAGAAGAAGGAGAAGAAGAAGAAGAAGAAGAAGAAGAAGAAGAAGAAGAAGAAGAAGAAGAAGAAGAAGTGTGTCGATCGATCTATAAAGTGTAAGTCTAACCCTATATGCCCTATATGCCCAATATGCCTGGAGGTGTGAAAAAGGGTCCTATACTTTTACCTACTAGGCACACCACTTATTGTTTCTGTTCTGGGAAGTGTTATCTTTCATCATCCTTACCAACACCGCCATTATTATCACACCATCATCATCGTTATTACAGGCTGTAGATGTTAGTGAACGAGTTTGACAATGTCTTCGAGTATTAGACTTCGAGTTCTGTGGAGGACGCTTGATTAAAATACGTTGTCGTGGCTTTCGAACTGCGGTACGAGAGTCATACTGTGAAAGTGATGGGGTCCCCACAACGTAATATTCCCAAAATAAAGCAGTGGGTGCACTATAGCAAAACTTTAATGTTGAGACGGCACAAAGTGTCTAAGTAATTCTATACCACTTTTCCAGGAAAAGACAATTAGTAAACTAGGTAGTAGAAAAATCATGGATAAGGCATATAGGCTAATTAGTTCTTGCATAGTTTCTAGCTACTGCATTAGCTATACGGTCCAAGAAAACTCTTTTTCTAGATATCCATCTACCTACCACCCTAAAAAAAATATAACACAGGCAGTAAGCAGTATTCCTCATTTATATATACATATATATATATATGTTTATATATATATATATATATATATATATATATATATATATATATATATATATATATATATATATATATATATATACACACAATAAAAACCACAGAAGGTCTCCGTGCCGTCAAGCCGTTTGCCTCGCAATCTCCATGTCACGACGTCGTCGTTCAGTTCACGGGCGCAATTTTTATGGATATTTCTATAGATCGTCGCTAGAGCTACGGGTGTCGTTCTCTGTGCGACGCTCTCGACAGGCAGCTAGCATTTCTGCGGAGAGAGACTGAGACATGTGGGATAAAACCCTGTGCAATGAAGTCAGTCCTCTAATCATTACCTTAACCTATAATGAGAACCCCAAAGCAGAGAATTAGTAGGCAATGACTTACCGCGTTTGAAACGGAGCCCTATCCCGGAGACCATGCTGATTCTTTGCCTTGTAGCTGTTGCCTTGTAAACGACGGCATGCTCTTCGATGCGAGCGTATTTCTTCAAGTGATTCCTGTGGAACTGCAGTCGAAGATATTCACATGAACAGAGAATCATTAAGTTTGCAATTAAGTACATAGGCAATCACTTTAAAATACACAATCGCAAAGTTCTCCCATGACAAGTTTTCTCTGCTGCTCCCATGACAAGTTTTGAGCAATTTACGGGAAAGTCGTGCGCTTTAACAGAAACTTTGAATGTCACAATTATGGTAGCTATACGTTTTTGTTTGTCTTTGACTAGTATATAATGTATCCAGAGGGGCATTGAGAGCATGAAGCTATGTTAGCACAGTGGCTAACACACTCGCCTAGTGATGTGTTCTAATTAAGGGAAATTTTCTTAGAAAACTAGTTTGCCTCTTTACAGTTCAAATGGGTGCCCGGACAAAAAACGACTTGAAGCTGAAGAAGAAGAAGACGCCACAAAGTCAGGGGCTTGAACCTGTGGGTGTGGGTTGGGTGTGCATGGGGGTTAGGTACCTTGTGCCCGTCGCCTCCTACTTTTCAAAAGATTTGTTCTCTGTCTAATGTTTTTAACAATAAATATTAAACTAATTAAAATATTTTTTCATAATTATTTGCCATACAGCACATAAGTATTATTATTATTATTATTATTATTATTATTATTATTATTATTATTATGTCAGGTTCAAACCCCTTTCGCCCTCAGGACTCTCACAAAATCCCCCCACCCCCCCCCCCACAACCATCAAAAATGTGTAAAGGACCTCTTTTTCGCCATTGCTATCATCAGCAGCAACAAGATATAATTACTTATACCAACAGAGAAAGTGTCCAGAGAAAAGCATTTATAGTTATGGTTATTTGGTTAAATATCAAGTCTGTATTGACCATTTAAACTCGAAACATTTACATCTACATTTATACTCTTGGAAAGCGTCAGGGAAGGGAGATATTTCTGGAATGGATCCTTCTGTTCGCTTAGTAAAAAGTACTTTTTAGTGTCTCCAATATATCTGCGTTCCGTCTTCGACGTGATCGTTCTCTGGATCTGTTACCGTTGCATCTGTATAACAGTGCTCTCTGTGGTGCTCTCTCTGCTGCTAATCTTATTACATGGCCAAATAATTTAATCTATTGTATACCGATACGATTCTGTATTGCATCTGAACCGATACTTCTCCTGATATCATCGTTCATCAATCGACCTTTCCTTGTTTCCCTGACATGTTTCATGACATGTAAACATTTTGTTTCTGTCGCGACTAGTTTTCTTCGGTCTTCTGGGGACACTGTCCATGTTTGACAATGGTAGCATAGCGTTGGCTGGGGAAGCAGGTTTGCCCTGGTCATAATTTTGGTTTGGCAGCACTTGCGAACTAAAACTGTCAGCTTTTGAGATCGGAACTCTCCGGAAATGATCAGTGGGTCAAAAAGTTGATAAAAGGCCCAGCACAGCAGACAATGTTCTCTGGTTTTGACGGTGGTGAGACGAGAAACGCTAGTTTTGTGTTCATAAAAATAAACAGATGTTGAATGTGATTACTATATTCCATTTGTCTGATTCAGAATATCACTTGTAATTCGTGTACGTGGTCTGACTAGGTACTGCGTATGTGGTTATATGCGATAGTTGTTATGTAATTCATTATTTAGAACGTGCAGAATAGAGGGAATTAAATGGTATGATAGAATAACTAATGTAGAACTTTAGGAGAGAACTAAACAGGCTCCAGTGAACCAAGAGGTGAGGAAAAGACGCTGCGTTGGATAGGACACACACTGAGAAAACAGGAGAACAGCATAACTGGAATGTCTTTGCATTGGAACCCACAGGGGCATAGGAATAAAGGAAGGGCCCCCCCCCCCCAAAAAAAAAAAATACACACACACGGAGAAGAGAGCTGGAGAATGAAGTTAGAAAGATGGGGAGGACATTGGGAGAGCTCCATGCAATGGCGAAGGATAGAACGACTTGTCGTGAGTTGATTGAGGGCCTATGCTCCATTGGGGGATTAAAAAGGCAGAAGAAGAAGAAGAAGAAGAAGAAGAAGAAGAAGAAGAAGAAGAAGAAGAAGAAGAAGAAGAAGAATTCACTATTCACAAATTCATCGCCTGAGTCAAGAAAATATGTCATGGTTCCTGCATTAGAAGAACTCTAGTCTTTTGTTTACCTTTCCTTTTCTATCTGTAGCTTGATTGGCTTTATTGTATTGTTATTGTTTTTTTTGTATTCATCCTTAAATTTTCAAATTAAAAAGAAAAAAAAAAACGCTCCCTGGATTTGTGAAACCTTTAGTCTGCTTTAGCTGATGATTATAAATGTTGATATTTGTGGTTCTTCTGTTTCTGGACAATGTTCTAATTTATGTTCTATCAACCTTGATCTTCATATCAAAATTGTCGCGTGCTTCGTAGAGTCTCTGTGTATGCTCTTGTAATTGTACTGGTGTAGGTGCTATGACTGCCTGGTTGTCTGCGAAAAGCAATTACTACACAACAACAACAACAACAACAACAAGATAACAACAAGAACAAAAAGGCAATTGAGCAGGAAGATGGAGCGTTTATAGTTTTGCCTCCCAGTGCTAGATCATATTCCGTATCACATATTTAACCCTCCACCCCTTTTTTTATCTTTAAAAATGTCTCAAAATATATACCACACAACGTACAACAAATACAGTCTCGTGCACAATAAACACATACACACGCAATCACATAATCAAACAAAGACAGTGCCCTACCCTGTAGAAATCATATCCAAGCCACGTCATAACTGTAAGCACCAAACAAACATATGGAAGCCAAACCGTCTCCTCCGGTATCAGCAGCGTACTTGTGTAACCCACTGTTGTGCGGTTGGATATAACCATGGTGTGAGTGCCAAACGCCGACTGCGTTTAGGAAGATGGTTGTGGCTCTAATTTGCAGGAAAGGAAATGATCATTCCTGTCATATCTTTACCGGCGTTTGATTTTCTTCATGCTTCTGGGAGAACAAGGAAACAAACAATATCGTGTCAGTGTTTTTGTTGTTTCTGATGTGCGTGGTTTCTAAATGGGCTGTATGCATACTTGTGAGAAGTTATTTGGCGGTTGTAAATATATATGTAGTTATGAAAATCTAATAATATACGGTGATTCAAACATAAACCTTAAAAGTACCAAAAACAGAGACGATTCATTTCTATAGATTTCACCCCTTCACTGATCAGTAAACGGATAACAGAGCACTGCTCCTCTTTGTTGCATGTCGAAAGGGAGTAGCCATCTTTACACTGTCATATAAAGTCACCGTGTTCGTCTGCACCGTGGTTTTCATGGCACGCCTAAAAGTATCCCTTTCCCTAGTCAGATTTACTTCTTCGCAGTGTTTTTTGACGGCCAGAATTAATTTTTCTAAACCTTGTACACTGCTGGAAAGGAGAACTGTGTCGTCTGCATATCTGAGTTCTGGGATGGGATTACCTCCAAAGTTTAGTGGATCAAAGCTTTCAGCTATGGATATACTGACACAATTAATTTCAAACCATTCAAATGTCACTATAGTTTACAGACATTTAAATTAACCAAGCAGGAGTCGAAAAAACAAACACAGCAACAATTTACAAACACAGCGTACCGTTATTCTGTGTCTAGAATATACAACAAATTAAGAAAGAGATATGATTGGTGGATTGTATTACAGGTAATTCACACACAAAAAATATAGTGGGAGGAGGGGGCCTTGAGGATATATATATATATATATGCAAGTGTGTGTGTGTGTGCATATATAATAAAGAAACAGGCAATCCATTGATTGGTTCTCATATAAAGAAACAGAACCAGCATAGTTCAGAAATACTAACCACGACTGCAGTATTGGGTGGGCGAAATAGTTCTCCTATTTCCGAGTCGGTGTAAGATTGAAGAACACTACTTTTACTGCTCACTTGTAGTCTGGAATAGAGTGCAGAAACAGAAATCTTTCTTGTGGTGCCGCCCGTAAGTCAGGCCGCTAGACGGATGGGAGATCTTGCTAACCGGAACACGCTGCAATGTTTACCTGCAGCCTGCACAACAATACTCGTTGTTTCTGTGAACCGACAGATAACACTAGTGGCAGACTCATATCTCGGGCAGGGATACATCGCGGCTACTTGGCGCGCCGCCACGAAGACAACATTCAGGGCTGGAAGGAGTCAGTACCCTTACAATTTTCTAGGGTCGAGGGGCCTCAGTGTGACTGGGCCTTGCTTAATTGCGAAATAGTTTCAGTAGTTAGTTTAGTTAGCTAGTCAGTTAGTTACTAATAGTAATAGTTAGTTAGTTGGTTAGTTTAATTTAGTTTGTAGTAGTAGTAGTAGTATTAGTAGAAGTATTAATAGTAGTAGTAGTAGTAGTAGTAGTAGTAGTAGTAGTAGTAGTAATTAGCTGGTTAATTAGTAAGATAGTAGCATTAGTAATAGTAGTAGTAGTAGTAGCAGGAGTAGTAGTAGTAGTAGTAGTAGTAGTAGTAGTAGTAGTAGTAGTAGTAGTAGTAGCAGGAGTAGTAGTAGTAGTAGTAGTAGTAGTAGTAGTAGTAGTAGTAGTAGTAGTAGTAGTAGTTAGTTAGTTAGTTAGTTAGTTAGTAGTATTAGTATTAGTAATAGTTAGTTGGTAGTTGTAGTAGTAGTAGTAATCGTGTGCTGATTGGCTAATGTATATAATAATAAAAAGAAAGTAAAGTAAATGACGCGTACTGGGCATATAGGGTTATGCCTGTTTTTAAAAAAACCAATGGTCAACATCCCACCGGCCGACTTTACTTCACAAGACTGCACCTGTAGGCTGAGTCGACCTGGGAGTCAAGGTCATTTTCGGAGGGGAAAAAAGTCCAGCTCCGCTAGGACCCGAACCCACAGCCTTCCGATCAGAATCCGAGCGTCTAGCTGCTACACCACGGCGGCTCCCATACACATTATAATATGTTTCAAAGAAAATGAAATGTACCAGCAAGCGTTTCAAAGGAGGATTTCTATTTTTTAAGTGTGTTGGGGTGGGGGTGGATATCAGGGCCGGGGGGGGGGGTGTGAGCCTCTGTTTTTCAAAGAAATATCGATATGACTTGGTTGAGGGCCTATGCTCCTTTTGGTGACAACGGACACAATAATAATAATAATAATAATAATAATAATAATAATAATAATAATAATAATAATAATAATAATAATAATAATAATAATAATAATGGGGGAGATGAGAAGGAGAAACACGGCTGTGGACACATAAAATGGTGGTGATGATGTTTTGCAGGAAATTAACTCAAAAGGTGAACTGGGTACCCGATGGGTATGAACTCTGCAGCTAACATGCTGAAAACGGGCACATAGTCTCAGCCCAGACGAACGAG